TGCTTGAAAAACTATCAATTCCGGGCTATTTTAGTGTATTCATGGAAATTTGGGTGAAAGAACTTGAATTTGAGAAATTTTAAAGGCCAAATTCGGAATCAACGACCAAAATTACATAGGATTCGGGATGTATCTCGATGTATTTCGCGGAGAAAGAAACCCAGTGGCGTGCGGTGGGTTTAGTGACAGGGCAAGCAAGCTCTAGCGTTCGCCATCCGGGNGGGGGGGGGGGGGGGGGGGGTTTATATAGCCTCTTTCTCCTCCTCAAGGAACCGCCCTAGAAAATTCTTAAAATTTTACTCTATTTAGTCTATTTTTCGGATGAAATCTGATGGAAAGTCATGAAAATCTGTGGTTTTCTTTCTTTGTCTTTTACTAAGGATTTCGTTTACTCACCTTGTTTCGAATGTTATTCAGAATTGGAGGACGGCTTCGTGCTCTTAACTCCTAATTTTGCCACTTATTCCAGGTACTATAGTCTTTATTCTACGGTATTTAGAATTTTTTGAGTTATTTAAACCCAAAAAAACCCGTGTAACATTTTTCTTCTATTTTTGCCACTGTATACCGAAATTTAGAAGTAAAAACCCGGGTGTAGACCGAGTTTATCTGATATTTTTTCTTCTATTTTTGCCCATTACTCCAATGTATTGTAGAAGAAGATTTAGCTGCTACTTTTCTTCTGACAACATCGTTTTTATCTTCTACGATATCGCTGAGAAGCCCCGGATTCCTCCGGATGACCTTGAGACAGCGATCTTCTATTTCGGCTCTAATTTTCTTCTGCATTAGAAGATTCACCAGTAGCCTTTCATCTATTGCAGAAGTAATGTAGAAGAACTTGCTCTGCCTCTACCGTAAACCCATTTTAGAACATCTTTATCTGCTACATGGTCAAACGGTGTAGAAGAAAAAAAAAAGTATAGAAGAAAAATGTTACACGGGAACCAGCTTTCTGCATTTAAAACATGATTGAGAATTGTCTAATTCATCACCAATTAGATCCAAGTGAGCGACATTTTATAGAATTTAAGGGCATTTGCTCCGGAGGAGCAATTACAACCGCGATGGAAAGCGGGAACAAGATAGTGCATAGGAGGCAGAAGCAGCGCGTTGCGGTGACGGGCCAAGAGAAGAGAGCTGCGATCGCGCAGCAAACGGCTCGAACCCGGAACGTACCGCTCTCCCCGCCTGCCTGGATTCCGCCGCGCCGCGCCGCGCCGCCGAGCAGTGGCTCTCCGCGCAGCCTATCGCAAGCGATTCTCCAGCGCATGAGTTGGTCCGTGTTCAGGCCGCGCAGCGCGCTGCGCCACCTTCATCCGCTCTGCCGCTTTCCTACTTTAGTGGCTCTATGCGTATTTCTGTCTATCTCTCTTTCTGTTTTTAATGCAGTTTACTTACTGAACACCTTTTATAAATTATATTTGCTAACATGTAAGACATGTAATAGGTGTAGAAAGAGGTGTATAGGATGTATTTCGCGGAGAAAGAAACCCTCTGGTTCATAGTTTCTTCACAAGTTTTCTGCTTTGCCGCCATTTTGAACTTTAAAGACCCCTCTGATGGCGGGAAACGGAAAGAAACTTTTTTTTGGGGCTAAAGGGCATCTCAGTATACCTCCAAGAGTCACCATGCCAATTTTGGAGCAGAAATATCAATAGTGCGGCGCGGGCGTAGCATGATAGTGGTGGAGCAACCGCGCTGCGTCCAGTTGGTGCTTGTAGGAGACTCCAGCCGGCCTAGGTTCGCGGCACGAACAGTATAAGAAAATAAATTTAAAAATAAAGTGAAGTAAATAAATCAAGTAAAGTATCAAATCAAGTACAGTTAAAAAAATGGAGTTAAAAAATGAAATAACATAGGTAAACAAATAAAATAAATGAAACAAGTAAAATGAAGTAAACAAATAAAATAAAGTGATGAAATAAAATAAAGTAAACAAATAAAATAAAGTTTAAAAATGAAAGAAGTGAAATGAATTAAACAAAGTATACAGTTAGAGTAAAGTTAAAAAATAAAATGTGGTGAAAATGAAATAAATTTTTAAAAACGAACAAATACACATGTATTCTAAATGTCCTAGTTTTCCGTTCCATTCGAAGTTAAATCCATGTTGGCGCGTATACGTAGTATACCGCCTTTGCGATCGTTTCGAACCCTGCTCGATACAATAACCGAGTCCCTTAGTTCCTTACCGAAAAGTGACTACCGCGAACTTGTGAGATTTTCCAAAGCGTGTAAAAAGTTTATTTATCCGTCAATAATTATGATTTAAAGTTGTTTCTCATTCTGGGGCTCGCTAGTTTATGTGCAGTGAATACCAAGAGTCTACGTTACTTGGTTTTTTTAAAAAAAGCCTAAGAGTACGACGCGCTGATTTAAAATATGCATATATAAGCGGAAGCAAGCGAACTGATTCGAGGATGGCTGACCAGTTCGGCACTCCTTGAATGAGAATTTCACTCACTCCGTTTTGTTCAAAACGTTGCTTTGACATATCTCCACACCACTGTTATCCTTTTCAAAAGTTGGTACTCCTTGCTCTGATAGCCGGGGCCAGCAGGATAGTGGTAAGTGCAATCTGTGATGAGCCTCGAGACTCATTAGACCATTTGCTAAACGTGGCTCATACAGGAGTCCACTCAGCCCTCTCTTCCCCACGCTCCTGATCACTGCGTCGGCGTCACGAAGAACAATGGGCCTTGGGCCGCCTTGGGTCCCAACGCGGCCGATACCCGTACCCCAATTACTCACGCTTCATTAACCATTTCACCGTCACGCTAGGATTCATCCAATTTTCAAAAAAAATTGTTTCGCGTGTATTTAGCAATTTTTTCCTTACTCTCCGTTAAAACACAAATAAAAAGAGACCTCATTCATAAAAATCGGCCGAATAGAAGAGAAGTTACAGTAATCGAAATCCGAAGAAATCAACAAAACCTCGACTTCTCGATACGAAAAATAAAATGAAGGGGAAAAAAAGAAAGTATAAATTACAATTAAATATAATTGACCTCAAAATTTGACAAACAATTCATTTATATACCTAACGCTGAAAAAACTGGGAGAAATTACAAAAAATTTGCCTCTTGCAAGGGGCTTCTTTGTAAGAATTTTGACCTGAAGACAACGGTCGAATAACAGCAGTACTCCATACAATACACGGTGTGCCTGAACGAGTTAAACATTTTTCATACGTCCAAATCGAAAAATCTTTATATTTTTAACTACAATGTTTCTTGAATCGTTTAAGCAAAAAAAAAAAAAAAAAAAATTCCGTCGAGATTCTGGAACGCAAAGGCGCTTTAAAAGTATTCTGGGGCTATAATAGCTAAATCACCGGTAGTAAATTCGTTATATTATTAAAAAGAAATTGACTCCATAGTTTAATTCCTTAGTTTCTTGAATACGATTATTTTAAGCACTTAAACATTTATACCACCAATTTTAGCCATGGGGTGATTTCCTGAGAGCCGATAATATCACGAATTTCTCATAGAACCCCTCAACAGTGGCTTGCTTTTTTGGCAGCCGATTCGGCCATCGAACCGGAGTTTAAATGGAAGCTGATAATAACCCAAAGCTCTGAGAAAAATTTTGAGATGAGTATAAGAACGGTTTGTTGTAAGTAGCGAGGAGAGGCGGGCAAAGCGGCTAAAATCCTATCTAATTTTTACAGTTTTTCTGTTGAATTAATGTTGCCGCGGGCTTCTGACTGTCCACACATAGTTCTGTTCAGCATATCGATACATAAGTATTTACATTTTACATACGTAGAATCTAATTTTCACGTCGGGGAGTTGACATATTTTGATTTTTTCGATTTTATACGGAAAATTGATGGTTTTTCGGGATTGAAATTATTATTGTTTCATGAAAAATAAATGCACCCAAAATGACTATAGCATATTGATTCTTACACATTTGCACTCACAAAATTGGTTGGTAAATTCAACGAGTGGGTGCATCGACCTGGTATATCAAGTTTCTGCAATTTTTTACGGCAAATCAGTAGATTTTCGGGATGTAGATTGCTTACTTTCAATTCATGAATGAATAAAGCAACGACATGGTTGAACTTCTTTGCATGGAAAGACGTTTAAAATAACAAAATCAAGACGTATTTAATGCAATTGCATTTATATCGAGTCAATTTCTTTTCAATAATATAACGGGATTTTTACTACCGGTGATTTGGGTATTTTAGCCCCAAAATACCTTTAAATCGACTTTATCTTCTAGGAGTTCGACAGAATTTTTCCTTTCTTCGCTTAAATTATTCCGTAGCACTTTTCTTCAAGAATCTGATAAGATTTTGCTTGAGGCAGATCAAAAAACTTAAATTCGATCGAATAGCTTTCTACTTTCACAATACACGGTCTCGTCAAGGTGCGTCTTTGACCTCGCAGTGTTGGATCGTGAATTCTCTTGTTGTGCTGTTTGCCTATTTTGAAATCTCTGTAAATGAAAACTAAAGGGGTTGATATGTGCGAGTTAATGACGCGCCTTATCAACACATTGTGTTGGAGTTCACTGCTTGTTTTTCGGCTCCTATTCTTATCGCTCGGTATAGATCGATCGGTAGGAGGGTCCTTGACTAGTGTGAGGTTGGTCCTAGGTTCAATACCCGATGCAGGCAAAAAATTCTAATGTAGGATAGCGCTAACATGGAACGGTTCATTCAATTTTATTTTTCACGATTTGGAAAATTATTTCTTTAAGTAATCCTTCGGGGTGCCTCTCGTTCACCAACCACCCTGCTTAACATTTTTCATGAGGCTGATTTCCATGAAGTTGGTTTCTATGCCATATGCGCATGGAAATGATTCTGGTTTCCGTCCCAATTTTCCATGTTGCTGATTTCCATGCTTTCGCATGGAACACTTTTACCAGGGTAACCACCTGGCTCCCGAACACTTTTAGAAGTGAGGAGACGTTTCCAGATAGGAAGAGGACATATGGGTGAATAACAAAAAACTTTTTTTTTTGTTTGTCGACAGATATTTGAGCCGGCATTGAGGGAGCGTTTGCATTGCAGGAGACGCTCCGACGATTCGACAAGTTCTCTCCTCCCATCGCAGGTCTACACCACGGTTGGGATTTACAAGGTATGACTTGTTGCCTAGGTGGCGATATTTTTTTATTCTTTGTTTTTTTAATATATTTTTTTTCTTGTGAAAAAGGACCTCGCACACCCGTTATCGGAAAGTGGGCCCTATTTTATTTCCAATTTTCTTATTGCATTAAACTAGTCTATGGATGCCGATCAAAATTCATCATTGCGCCAACTTTCTACAAAGCAATAAAGCATCGTTTTTGCATTATCCGCGATTGAATATTCTATATTTTAGCGATAAATGGTCAAAAAGATCCCTCTTCCTTCGAGCACCTGCAAAGAAAATTCCAGTGCTTTTACATTGTGATCCGTAGCCCTAGCTACTACCGCCACACAGTGGAGTATTTTAACCGAAAAGCTGGCGGAAAGTCTTAGTGGCTGGCAAATTCCCGTTTTTTCTTCCATTTCATTTTATTTCAACATAAATATGATTAAAAATAGCACAGAACCTCAAATGGAATTTTCAGTATTGATATTTCAGTATTGTTATTTCAGTATTGTTATTTCAGTATTGTTTACGATCAGCTTTTCAATCAAAGTGTGTATGCAGTGACAGGTACAAGCTACATCTGCAGGCTTATTGGCAGCCATTATTTATGGTAAGTAGTCCCTTTTTACATATATATTACTATAATCAGAAATTTGATTGTCTGGCATGTATATGCTGTTGTCAAATCGTTCAGTAAAATGGGCATTTTCCATGAAGATACTTAAATAAGATAGTTTCTGAATATGTGCCGGGCTGTGTCGGGCTGAAAATGAAGGATTTTCGTAAACTAGAACCCGACCGCAAGATTCTCCCGCAAAAATTTTTTACCAATATTCACCCTTTGAATTTCTGCGAATTTTTGAAATGAGCTTTGTTTTTAAGCAAAAATCACGTACTTCCGAATTTTGGATCCTATATATTTTTCAGGTCAATAATTGTTGGGTCTTACGCCCAAAAAGAGGTTCTTTAGTTTTTGGCTTAGTTTTAGCGCGGGATCGCCAGCCAGTCGCAGTCGCTCTGCCGCGACTCCGTTGCCGGCCCCACTCCTGATCGTGAGTCGTTGTGCGCAGGCGCCAAGTGAAGTGACCAGTGCGCAAGCCCACGCGCACGCAGCGACCCACGGCGACGGTCAGGAGAGTGGCCGCGGCGGCGATCAGTCTGCGATCAGCTCTGTAGAAGGCCAACGACGAGAGTTCCCCCGTTCTTAGCTTCTCCGTTCTTGCAACGCCTAGAGTAAGCCGACTCCTTGTCTTTTTCCTTTTCTCTCCTTTCTAGGACGTCCATTCCCTAGAAAGAGAGTTGCCTCAGGACGTCCATTCCCTGAGAGATCCCCTCGAGACGTTCATTCCTCGAGCTGCGTCAGGACGTACATACCCTGACATGCCACCACGAAGTGCCATGCCGTGGTGATGCTTTTCGTATGTTAGGTTTTCTCGTTTATCTTGTTTTCTGACCAGTTGAGTTTCCGTTCAGGTTTTCTTTCCGCTTTATTTCTCCGATTTTAGTTTATGCTTTCTTCTTCTCGTGGTGGGATGCCTAGGTATGCGGTTCGCCTAGTTGCCTTGGGTTCTGTCCCCGAGATGGATTTTCCTTTCCTCCTTTTTTCCCCTTTTTTCTAGTACGGTCCTTCGGTTCCCTCTCTTTTTCCACTCCGGACCCGACATTTGGTCCTCCGGGCCGGATATACTGGTTAACAGTTTGCAACCAGTTTTTTGGAAAATAGTCCTGTTTCTCACATTTTCCTTTTCATAGAGCTAGATAGAGATCTCCATTACGATGTCTGTCGAAGGTCAAGCAACGATGAGCAAGGCTGAAAGGAGCCTAGAATTTGCGAGACAAATACGAGAAAGTATTTTCGCTCGTGCTCAGTCGTATTATGACACGGCGAAAAAATTGTCTCAGGAAAACTATGCTAATTACGTAGCAATGCTCCACAGACTTCACGCGCTTCAGGACAGATTCGAGGCGATCCAGTTTGAAATCATGGAGATAAATACCTATCTTGAAAAGCAGGCACAACTCAGTGTCACTAGCGAGAGCATCGCGCTCGAAGACATTGTTCGCGAAGTTGAGGCTATCTTTGAAAGTTTCGGCGGAGTACCGACGCGACCTGCGGACGTCAACGCAGCACCGGTTCAACCTGTGAACCCAGCTCCAGCGACGGGTAACGTGCGACTCCCACGTTTACAGCTAAAACACTTCTCGGGCAAAACAGAAGATTGGACAACGTTCTCAAATGTTTTCCGCATTTCAGTCCACGACGTTGCCACGTTGACGGCAGTGGAAAAATTCCAATATCTGTTGAGCGTGCTCGAGGGTGAAGCGTTAAGTTTAGTAAAGGGTTTGGAAATTTCGGCAGCGAATTATGTTATCGCTTGGGACTTACTCCAGAAGCGTTACCAAAATGAACGCAGTCTCGTTTCCTATCACCTGAATTGTTTACTCGACATGGAAGATATTAAGAATTACTCGACTTCCATCTCGAAATTTCTAACTAAATTTAGCGAGCATTCTCAAGCCCTTCGCGCCCTGAATCGAAATTTAGGGGAAGATAATGATCTTCTAGTGGCCGTTATGCTACGCAAATTACCTTTCCAGTTGCGCACGCGCTTAGAGGATTTTCGCGGAGCGGACACAGGGTTTCCCAAAATGCAAGAAATTATTAAGTTTTTGGAGAAACAGTCCTTACAGTTGGAAGACACTGTATCAGGACAATCGAGGCCCGCCTATATGGGAAATTCTAAGCATCAGGACTCACATGATAAAAGTGCGAGGGCACTCATCGCAGCTGACAGCGACGCAAAGGCGGGGGGCAACCCAAGCTTTTCCGGCACAAAGGAGGCAAGAGCTGGGAAAAAGTGGAACTCAAAGTGTCCCATGTGTTCCCAAACCCACCCGTTGCGTCAATGTGATGAGTTTTTGTCGAAAACTGTCGCTGAGCGAAAACATTTCATTAATTCCAACGGCAGATGTGAAAATTGCCTGGCAGCGCACGAATTATCGCAATGCTTATCCAAGAACACGTGCTCCGTTTGCTCTGCAAAACATCATACAAAATTGCATCCTGAAACAACTCAATTGAAAAAGGAAGGCCCTAGAATTGTTGCAGCGCTCTCTGCAAGTTCGTCGGCACCGACGGGAAAGCGCTTTCAAACTTTGCTGGCAACAGTGCTAGTGCAGTTATCAGTCCCATCGGGACGCACTTTTGTCGCGCGCGGAATTCTTGACTCCGCGTCGCAACGCACCATTATCACGACGCGCGCAGCGTCGGCGCTGAGGTTGAGATTCGGGGCCACCCACGCGTCGCTCAGTGGGGTCTCCCAAGTCGAAGTACGGACAAAGGGGACAGCGCGCCTAAACATTTCAACCCTCAAAAATGAACTGGTGGTAGAGGAGCACAATGTCGATATTCTTAATCATATAACAGCACCTCTCCCTACGGATCCCGTTTCAGCCGAGTTACAGACTAAATTAGTTGGTTTTGCGTTAGCTGATCCTCAATACGCAATTCAAGGGGGTCAAATTGATCTTCTAATTGGGGCCGATCTGACACCTTACGTGATCACGGGGGCACCCATAAAGTTAGGACCTCAATTGCCTGTACTTTTACCCACAGTTTTTGGGCATGCGCTTCTAGGTAAAGCCCCCATCCACGACCAAGGCACGGGGAAACGGAACCCGTCGTTCTTCTCACAGTGGAGGGTCCAATAAAACTGTATGATGCCGTAACGAGATTTTGGGAGGTAGAGCATGCAAATTACAAGCCACCTCTCTCTGACGAAGAGAAATTAGCCGAAAAATTATTTGTGGAAAATCATTACAGGGATGAGAAGGGGCGCTATGTGGTCAAAATCCCTCTCAAACCTGACCACCCTCCTTTGGGTGAATCCAAGCCGCAGGCCATTAAGCGGTTATTTGCTTTGGAGAGAAAGCTAAAAATGAATCCAGAATTCAAAAAGCAATATGATGCAGGGATGGCGGAGTACATCGAGCTAGGTCACATGGTCCCCGCACAAAATATTCCGAGTCGGCATTTTTATCTACCTCACCATGCCGTGGTGAAGGAGGGCAGTTCCACGACCAAAGTACGGATAGTTATGGATGCCGGAGCGAAGAGCTCCACCGGTGTTTCGTTAAACGATATTCAGTTGGTTGGTCCTAAACTCCACCCAGACTTGAAAAACATTATCACAAATTTAAGGCGTTACAAGGTGATTTTTACGTGTGATATTAAACAGATGTACAGGCAAATTGGAGTGGACTCTTCCGATCAAGATTTACAGCTCGTTTTGTGGAGATTTAATCCGAACGACCCGATTAGGACTTTTAAGTTGACGACTGTTACATTCGGTCTCATGAGTTCTCCCTTCTTAGCGTTACGGACGATGCGGCAAATGGCAGTGGACTACGCCACTGAATACCCGCTCGCCGCACAAGTGATACTCAAGGAGACATTTGTGGACAATATCACCACGGGCGGACGCGACGTTGAGGAGGCAATGGGGAAACAAATTCAATTATTTGGGTTATTTTCGAAAGTGAATTTCGACCTAAGAAAATTCACTAGTAACATTGCAGAACTGCTAGAATCCCTGCCAGCGGACCATATGGAACCACCAATTTCGTGGGATGACTCTTTTATGCAAGCCTTTGCCAT